GGTGCTTGGACCCCATCCCAGACCTGCTGAATCAAATCCCGGGGTGGGAGGGGTGAGGCAGCAATCTGTGTTTTATCTGGTCTTCCAGGTGATGCACACCAGAGATTGAGAACAACCAGTCCGAAACTGTCGGCATTCCTCATGATGAAGTCCTGATTCCTTTCTTTTCTCTGGCTACATTTCCTCCCATGATGACTTCATCTAAGCCCGTGACTGGAAATCGTCTATATGCTGACAACTTCTAAATGTGTATCTTCAGCACCCATCTGGGGATTACACAGCCATCTCAAATTCAACATGTCCAAATGGAAGGAAGGAACTCCAGATGTTCCCTCTAAAATCTGGTCACCATCCATTTTTCACCATTTAAGAAGATAGCTCCACCATCCCCCTAGTTGTTCATTAAGAAACTTAAGTTGCCGGGCACAGTGGCTCAAGCCTGTAATCCCAGCACTTTGGGAGGCCGAGGCGGGTGGATCACGAGGTCAAGAGATCGAGACCATCCTGGTCAACATGGTGAAACCCCATCTCTACTAAAAATACAAAAAACTAGCTAAGCGTGATGGCGTGTGCCTGTAACCCCAGCTACTTAGGAGGCTGAGGCAGGAGAATTGCCTGAACCCAGGAGGCGGAGGTTGCAGTGAGCCAAGATCACATCATTGCACTCCAGCCTGGGTAACAAGAGCGAAACTCCGTCTCAAAAAAAAAAAAGAAAGAAAGAAATTTAAGTCATCCATGATTCCTCCTTTTACCCAACTCCTTACCTCACTGGCGATAGTATATCTAGTGAGTCTATCTCTAAAGTGTCATCAATTTGTCCTCTACTACCACCATAGGCCAGGCCACTGCAAAAGCCTCCACCCAGGTACTGCTAATGCCCACAAAACAACCAGAGTGGGCTTTTAAGGAGGTAACTCAGGCTAAGCATGGTGGCTCATGCTTGTGATCTCAGCACTTTGAGAGGCCAAGGTAAGCGGATTGCTTGAGCTCATGAGTTCAATACCAACCTGGACAACATCTCTAGAAAATATACAAAGTTAGCCAGGCGTGGTGGCTCACACCTGTGGTCCCAGCTACTCAGGAAGCTGAGGTAAGAGGATAGCTTAAGCCCCGGAGACAGAGGTTGTAGTGACCAAGATCACCCCACAGCACGCCAGTTTCGGCAACAGAGGGAGACTCTGTCTCAAAAGAAAAAAAAAAAAAAAAAAGGAAGAAGAAGGAGGAGAAGGAGGAAGAAAATTGTGTGGCATCATTTCCCTTCAAGGGCTTTGACCTCCAAGGACAAACCCTACACCCCTCTTCTCACTCAGTCTGGAAAATGACCTTCACTATTTATAGTGGGATATGAGTAGTTGTGGTCATGGGAGAGGCAATGGGAGTGAGTTTAGAATGAGGAATCATGCAGGGCCATTTGCAATAGCCACTTCCTGTAGGTTGCCCACCCTTGGAATGGTTCATGAGGTCAATGAAAACTCCAAGAATCCACAGGTAAGACCATCAACCCATTGTGGCAGCTTTTTAAAATGGCAACAACGTCTTTGATACTCCTCCCGTTGAGAAGTGGGCTGCGAGTCCTCTACCCTTGAATCTGGGGGCTATATGACTTTTTTTTATTTTGAGATAGAGTCTCATGCCTGGAATTACAGGTGTGAGTCACTGCACCTGGCTGTCAACATTCTTAAACCTCTTTCCTTACATGCTTCCCAAACCTTCTTAAATGGTACCATCTCAGCTCACTCCAACCTCCACCTCCTGGGTTCAAGTGATTCTCCTGTCTCAGCCTTCTTTGTAGCTGGGATTACAGGGGTGCACCACCATGCCTGGTTAATTTTTGTATTTTTAGTAGAGACAGAGTTTCACCATGTTGCCCAGGCTGGTCTTGAACTCCTGACCTCAGGTGATCCACCCACCTCAGCCTCCCAAAGTGCTGGGATTACAGGCACGAGCCACTGCACTCAGCCAGTGAACTACATAACTATCAGGTCAAGAGCATACAGTGGAAGTGATGCTACATGACTTCTGAGCCCAGGTGGGAAGTGGCACTGCAGCTTGTTTGCTGAAACTCTCACACTTGGAGTCCTCAGCCACCATGGAAGAAGTCCCTCCAAGCTGAGACCACCATGCCATGAGGAAACCAGGCTACACAGAGAAGCCAGAGGTAGGCACCCCAGTCAGTACATCTGATCTTCAAGTCCTCCCAGCCCAGGTGCCACTCATGCAAATGCATAGGCTTCGGATGACTGCAACCCCCAGCTATCAAAGCACCTATAGACTTAGAGTCTTCTCAACTGACACCCCAAACATCATGGGGCAGAATCAAGTCCCCATTGTGCCTGTCCAGCTCCCTGGCTTAAACAATCCATTAGCATAATAAAATGGTAGTTGTTTTAAACCACCTAAGTTGTGGGGTATTTCCAGTACATCAGTAGTAACTAGAATAGGGCATAAGGCAATTCCCTTTGGTTTCCTAATTCCTCCCCTCCAAGAAATCCCAGGGTATTTGAGCCCTTTCCTGATGGAGGAAAGCAGTCAACCAGAACATATGATTATTTTGAGGAAAAGAGGGGTTTTAGGATCTTGGAACCAAGCTTTACAGGGCCCCTTCTGCCAGTGGGAAGCCAGCCCCTTGCCTGGGCTGATCTAGTCACCCACTTCCAGCCCCACCCTGGCCCAGTCCTCCTTGCAGCCCCTGAGCCTCTAGGAGACTCAAAGAGACACTGTGCTGCCTGCTGAGTTCATCACCCAGTGAGCCATCTGAGAAAAAAAGGTAAGGTTCAGAACGTGATGTCAACCTAAGCATTACATAAGACTGATAGGATGTAAAACAGCTTCACTGCCTAGTGCTCATTCTAATTGGCCACAATCCAGTCAGTCCTCCCTGTTGCACTGAGTCAGCTCCCTCCAAAGACGGCGCTTTCCAGACCTCTCATTGCCCTTTCCCAGCAGATCTTTCAAGTGCTCACCCACACTCACATAAACATGGCCCAGGCACTGTTTTACAGCAGCTCTCCTCTGTGCATTCTCCTGGCTTCTCCAGTCACTTGTCCTCCTCACCCCAACTTGAGTGATAATGATTGGTCCTGAGATGCAAATATTTAATGCAAATATGTTTACAATCAATGGAGCATCAGCTTTTTTTTTTTTTTTTTTTAAAGAGAAAGAGAGTGAGACAGGGTCTTGCTCTGTAGCCCTGTGGCCCAGGCTGGAGTGCAGTGGCCGATTACAGCTCACTGTAGCCTCTACCTCCTGGGATCAAGCAATCCTCCCACCTCAGCCTCCCCAGCAGCTGGGACTACAGGCCTATGCCACCACTCTCAGCTACTTTTTTTTTTTTTTTTTTGTAGAGATAGGGTCTCACTATGTTGCCCACTCTGGTCTCAAACTCCTGAGCTCAAGCAATCTTCCTGCCTTGGTCTCTCAAAGTGCTGGGATTACAGGTGTGAGCTACTGCATCTGGTTGTCAACATTCTTAAATCTCTTTCCTTACATGCTTCCTAAACCTCTCACCTGAAACGAGGATACTAGATATCCTATCTTGCTCAGGGCAGGCCTGGTTTATGCTCATTTCAATCCTAAAAGTGCCCAATTTGGGTAATAATTTATAAGATTCCCCCTCCAATTCCTGTCCTATCACTTCACCCCTTGCCCTCCTTTGAAATGAGACAAACCTCTGCCAAAGTTGTCAGCAGGAATCCTGGGCAAGAACACACCACCTTGTTTCATAGAAGGTATCTCAGGTAATGTGATGAGAGTTTTTTAAACGGAGTTCATTTTTCTCATTTTTGTTAATATAACCACCTAAATCATCTTTTTTGCCTTAAAAAAAGGACAAAGTGAATGAACAGGTGATAGCCAGTGTCCTTTCTAGGCCTCAAAATTTAAGAGTTTATGTGAAAATTTATAAATATTGATCTCAATCCAGGGTAAGCAACATTTTTGTTTTCCTCTTTAGAAATTTCTGGTTGCCAAAGTTCCAGAAATTGCTTCCTCATTCCCCTTCATTTTCTCGAGTTCTACATTATGTAACGGGGAGCTGGAGCTTTGGGCCGAATTTCCAATTAAAGATGATTTTTACAGTCAATGAGCCACGTCAGGGAGCGATGGCACCCGGAGGCGGTATCAACTGATGCAAGTGTTCAAGCGAATCTCAACTCGTTTTTTCTGGTGACTCATTCCCTGCCCTGCTTCGGAGCGCCGCACCCTTTAACACAAACCTCGGCCGGCTGCCAGCCGCGGGCACGGAGTGTGCGCCAGTCCGCGCGGCAATTGGTCCCCGCGCCGACCTCCGCCCGCGAGCGCCGCCGCCTCCCTTCCCCGCCCAGCGTCCGTCCCCCATTGGCCCCGCGCGTCGCCTGCCCTCCGCACCAGTCGCTGACAGCCGCGGCGCCGCGAGCTTCTCCTCGCCTCACGACCGAGACAGGTAAACACCGGGGGTGGCGGGGACACGGGCAGGGGCAGACGAGCCGCTGAGGCCGAGTGATGACCCCGGGCCTCGGGCCCCAGGTGCGAGGGCGCCCGACCGGACAGCGTCGGGACCGCGGTAAGGAGGGGCGGGGGACTGCCCCGAGGGCACGTGACGGGTCTCGGGCCTGCCCCAGTGCCCTGGTCTCGGCTCAGGTGGGGCGGCTTGGCTCCGCTTTTCGGGTTAGGAACCCTCCCTTCACTCCGCGAGGGGGGTGGGGGAGCTGGCGGAGCCCCTGGAGGGAGGTCGGTGGCGCGCCGGGTGTCGCAGCGCCCCCTGCACCCAGCCGTGGGTCCGGCCCAGCGACCAGGGAACTCCCGGAGGGCCGCCAGCGGGCTCTGCGGGGCGCGGGGCGAGTAGGGGGGCCTGGGGGCAGCGGGGCCCGGTCCTTGCGCCGTCGGTCGCCCCTCGGAGGCCGGGGTCGGGACCCAGGACGCCGCTCGGCAAGGCCCGGCGCTTCCCGGATACCCAGAGGGTGCTTGTGGAGATGGGGAGGCGGGCGCCCGCCGGGGGAGTTACGGAGCGCCGCAGGGCCTACCGCCGCAGCCGCCTCACTGCTCCCGGGAGGCGGCCCCGCCCTTCATCCTCTCGGCCGGAGTTTCTCCGAGGGAGGCCGCAGCCGAGCAGCTGTCGCCACCGCGTGAGGAAGGGGCCCACGCGGGCGGGCGGGGGCGGGGCCTCGGGCCTCGGTGGGGGCGGGGTCCCGGCAGGCCCCGCCTTCTGTTCGAGACCTGCAGGGAGGGAGGAGCTGCGGTTCTGCCTCCGGGCCCCAGGTGCGACGGCGACCCCCGCTTGGCCTGTCACACTCCTCCCCGTCCCCTAGAGGAAGAACGCTGGCCATGGGGGGCTCCAATGGACAACCAGTCTCGGATGACGACCCTTGGGTCACCGGGCTTCCCACCTGTGAGGCAGGCGCCTTCACGTTTCATTATTAAAACAATGGGGAGAAATCCATGTTTATGATCCTTTTTAAGGAATTTTTTGTCCTTCTCTTTGTAGTGGCTGTAGGAAATCAATTTTTTTTTTTTACCTCGTAATTCCACCACTGTCACATCCATCCTCGCCATCGCAAAACCACAGCTCCCTGTTTTTGTTTCCTAGCCTCCAGATTCTCACACAACACAGTGCAATTTCACTGCTGTAATGTTGAGGATCTTCATGACCACGTTATTTTCTTGTTATTAGAGCATCACGGTTTAATTAGCAGTTCCCCATATGTAGAACATTTGAGATGTTTCCCCGTTTCCTTAGGAAAAACTCCTGGTAGAATAGGATTGAGGATTTTTACAAATATAATTATCAGAAACATAGGAACAGGAAATTGGAAAAATATGTTAAACCTCTGGAAAAATCAACAACACTCTTAGATTTGTAGGAGAAAGGAAAAATCACCAAAGGAAAGAAGCAATTTTACTTACACAAACACTGAGAAAGTCTTACAGTGAAAAAGAGCTAACCAGAAAGGGGAAAGGCAGGCAGAGAGGTAGGATGTCATTTGTATGTTATTTGTATCTAACAGAAGTTTTCCATACTGAAAAAAAAATATTAAGATTATAATAGATAAATAATGAAATGATGAGTCATTTACACAATAAAATGCAAATTAGAGCATGTTGGGGTTATCATTTTACGTTTATTAAACTAACCAAAATGAGTAATAGTAACTTGCTGGAAGGTTGCCCAAAACTTGGCATTTTCAAGTGTCCGGGAAGCGGCAGCTCTTTGGGATCAGAAAGATGGTTCTGCAGTCAATTTTGCGACTTTGGACAGGCTACTTAATTTCCTGATCCTTCTTTTGTCCATTCATAGAATGGAGGAAATGATGCCTGCTTCCTGCGTCTGTTGCAAAGATTGACCAACTATGTAAAACTCACTCTTGCTATGTATGCATTATTGGGGGCATTTTGAGCCAGTACAACCCTTTTGTAAAACAATCTGGTGATGCATTAAGAAATTGTAAGCTGTGACCCAGAAACCCCACTCCTGAGAATTCACCTGCAATGGAAGAACCAAACAAAAAAGCAGGCACATATTCCTAGCAGAATGATCTAAAATTAGAATCAACTGGCCAACAGCCTAAATGTATAACAGCAGGGCAGTAGCTAAGAAAATTATGACACGTTAACTGAAATGAACATTATATAACCATCAAAACTTATTATTTTGGAGTCTGTGATATGTGGGGGGAAACTGGTAAGTAAAAAAAGTGGGTTACTAAACTGCACCTGCTTACTCTAACATGAATGCATATGTGAAAAATCTGAAAGGAAAGGCACAGAAAATGGACATTTTAATTGAAATTGTAGGTGATCTTAATTTTCTTCTAGTGGATACATTATATATTGTTCTCACTAAATAAGGACATTTAAAAAATAGCTCACAGGTTTTAATTTTTTTTTTTTTTTTTTTTTTTTTTTTTGAGACAAAGTCTCACTCTGTCCCCAGGCTGGAGTGCAGTGGCGAGATCTCAGCTCACCGTAACCTCCGTCTCTCGGGTTTAAGGAATTCCCCTGCCTCAGCCTCCCAAGTAGCTGGGACTACAGGCACGTGCCACCACGCACAGCTAATTTTTGTATTTTTAGTAGGGACGGTGTTTCACAATGTTGGCCAGGATGGTTTTAATCTCCTGACCTCATAATCCACCCGCCTCAACCTCCCGAAGTGCTGGGATTACAGGTGTGACCCACCATGGCTGGCCCACAGGTTTTAATTTTTTTAATGAAATGGACCACAGTTTTCTGTGTGTGAAAGAAAGGAGAGCTTGTTATATTTGCTATTTAGAATAAAAGATTTTTAACCAACCTTGTTTCCTTTTTCTAATTTTTTTTAGTTACTTAGTAATTTAGTAATTTGTATATTGGGATTTTTTTGCTGTTGTTTTGTTGTTGTTGTTGTTGTTTGTTTGTTTGTTTTGAGACAGAGTTTCGCTCTTGTTGCTCAGTCTGGAGTGCAATGGCGTGATCTCGGCTCACCGCAACCTCCACCTCACAGGTTCAAGCGATTCTCCTGCCTCAACCTCCTGAGTAGATGGGATTATAGGCATGCACCACCATGCCCAGCAAATTTTGTATTTTTAGTAGAGATGGGATTTCTTCATGTTGGTCAGGTGTATATTGGGTTTTTTTTTAAGAATCAGTTCTTAGATTCGTTTATCAATTCTAGTTTGTTGTTGTTAAGGACTCCTGAAACTTTTTCAAAACTGAACAATTTCAGCCATGTCTAAGCTTTCTGTCTTCTTGGAGGCACAAATCCAGTTTAGCTGAGCCACAACAGATTGTACATATCCTGCAGAACCTCTGTGGCCTTATGACAGTTGAAAGTCACCAACTGTCACAGAAAATGAGGGTCAGGAAAGGCTGTGATCACGGGCCTCTGATCCAGAGGCCACTTGGGTTCATCTGTGTAACTCACACCTCATTTCTTGTAAAATCACCTTGATTTTGCAGGGAAATGGCCACAGATTTTTAGAATTATGCTGAATTATATAAGGGAGTGGCCATTTTAAAAATAATGTAATTAAACAACAACAGTAACATAACAGATATTTCTGCACCACATTGACACTGAACATGGCTCTCAACCAACTGGCCAAACCACGGTGAAAGATTCTCTAAACTTTAGTTTTAACTTACCTTGTCCATTCTCCCTTTTCAGATCTTATTTCTTCTTCCAAGGCAACTATATCCTCTGTGAACTGCTGCATGTTAAACATTCAAAACATGTCTATATCTAACCCAGTGATGGCTACAGCATTATAAAATAACTCCTAAGTGAATAGTGTGTGCAGCAATTCTCACAGCGGGGAGAATTTTTTTTTTTCTCTCAATGTGTTAACCAGTCCTTTTTCTCCAAGTATATTCTACTTAAACTGTTACAGTATTGTGTGATCACTTTAAGGGAGGTAACCCTTTAATGAAAAGCATTATAAATGTTAAAGATTAGACCCCTGAGGGCCTAGCACTGAATGAAGCCTAATCATGGGTGCCAGTTCCCTGAGAAGCTTTTATAGATCACAAATCCCATTGCTAAGCACTCTGCGGCTGGCTTGGTTTGGGTTCCAGCAATGTTGTTTTTCAGAATCTCTTTCGGGTAATTTTGATGATGGATCATGTTGGGGACCCTTTGCTCTATTCAGTTTGTGGCTTCTGGGTGCCGTGAAAAACCCCTACCACCAATTTTTGTGCAACATTTTATATAGCTCAGATCAAGTTCTTTATGGACCTCAAAAGATTAAAATATAACAAGAGAGTTTACTTAGCTCAGAAAGACAAGGGACATTATGGGGTGAAGGTTGGGGGGCTGTTTGACATTTGCCACTTCCCAATGTAACTAATTAAGCTTCAAGTTGTAATATGTTATATGGGCTGGAAGGCTTTGGTGTCTGTATTTGGATCTCAGCTCCAACACCTTGGGCTGCTAAAACCTTGGGATAAGTTCTTACCAGCTCTGACTCTCATTTTCCATCCATAAATGGGAATAAGATGAATAACTTATTGGAGTTATTCATGGAGTAACTTATGGATCTTTTTGTACCCTCTCTCTGGTTCCATTGTTTTGCCTTTCTGCTCATGCACCAATGCCATGCGATCTTACTGTTAACTCTTAACACCTAGCAGGTCAAATACACTCTGGATTATCTTCTCATTAAAAATTTTCTCCAGTCATTTGAGTTTTGAGTATCATTTCATTATGTCTTTTTAAATCCCTTTTGAATTCTTTTTCAAATTTATTTGTTTTTTAATTTGACAGATAAGATTATATGTATTGTGTACAAAATTAGAAAGAGAGCTTTTCCTCTAAGATCTGAAACAAGAAAAGTATGCTCACATTCACCAGTTCTGTTCAACCTATAATACTGAAAGTCCTAGCCAGGACAGTGAGACAAAAGAAATAAAGAGCATCCAAATTTGAAAGGAAAAAGTTAAATTGTTCCTATTTGGAGACGATTTTATACTTAAAAAACCCTGAAGACTCCACTGGAAAACCATCAGAACTAATAAATTCAGTAAAGTTGCAGCGTACAAAATTAACATATAAAAATCAGTAGTGTTTCTATATGCCAACAGTGAATTCTCTGGAAAGAAACAAAAAGAAAGTCCCATTTACAATAGCTACAAAATAAAATATTTCAGAATAAATTTAGCCAAGATAGTGAAAGATCTCTATGCTGAAAACTATAAAACACTGATGAAAAAAATTGAAGAAGACACAAATAGAAAGCCTGTACTCATGGAGGAATAATTAATATTGTTAAAATGTCCGTACTATCTAAAGTGATCTACAGCTTCAGTAGAATTCCTATCAGAATACCAATGACATTCTCAGAGAAATAGAAAAACAATCCTAAAATTTGGTGAAGGTGGCATCCTTGTCTCATTTCAGATCTAAGAGGAAAAGCTCTGTTTTTCATCATTAAGTATGATGTTAGCTGCAACTTTGTTATATGTGGCCTTTATTGTGTCAAGGTACAATCCTTCTATACCTAATTCATTGAGAGTTTTTATTATGCAAGAATGTTGAATTTTGTCAAATGCTTTTTCTGCATCTGTTGAAATGATTTTATGTTTATTGTCTCATTCTGTTAATGTGATATATCACACTTACTGATTTGTGTATGTTGAACCATCCTTGCATCCCTGGATAGATCCCGTTTTAT